AATAAAAGAGAACGAGGGAGATTAGTCTTCTACACATAAAACAATTGATCTACGAGGTTGAAGAAATCGAAACATCACAATAAAATGTAAATGTTCTCGAATTGATCCTTTTTAGTAGGAGAAGGGATTCCCCTTATTTTATTTTTCAAACCAATTCATGCTATACATCCATTTTTTTTTTCTCGCAGAAAGAATTACCGGAGATGGTTTAAGGGAAACAAGAATACCCAAGATGTTCATTGCCGGCGAAGAACTGACCGAAATTAGGATTTTTGGGGTTTGTAGAGATTAGTGGAGAGTTCCGAGGCAAGTGATAGGAACGAGATTTATTCAACCGGTAATAGAGATTTTCCCAAAATTTCATTTATGCGCCATGAATATAGTAGATCTAATATTTTTCTTATAGCATGGGTAGCAAGAGATGGGAGTGAATCCAAAGTTATCAGCGAAGATGTTTATTATAAGATAACATTAGCACTTCAAATCAGATGGTAATGTTATAATTTAGCTGGTAATGAATTGGTTATCTATCAAACTCCAATATTTTAAATTGTGTCTATATGATGGTAAAGATATCTTAACTGTACTCATATATATAATATATTAACCATCAAACATAATTTTAACCGACTAACATGTAACTTAAAACGTTGATTAAAATGTAAGAAACAAGTCTATTATCAATCTAACTAATCTATTCTCTGCCAAATAAAAAATTAGCCGTTTAACATTTACCTTGTATTTATCTGTTAATGTGGGCTGCTTTGACTTTCCCTGGGAAATTTCTCTCAATGAAAATAGGTTTGTCTCTGTTGTGCATCAATGCTTATCAATCTGAATTATGTTTTCTAGTGAATATATTTGCTAGTAACTGAGTGTTCATAGACTCATATGTTCTTGTTACGTAAGGAATTTGTGTTCTACAGCTGTTCCGAGTGTCCAACATTGATGTCTCAGTGAAAAGATGAATTTGTTTCTTCATTAATACTTTGTTTAGCCTGTATATAATTATGGAGACATCTTCTAGTTAGATTTGGTCCAATTACATCGTTTTGCAGCTTAATCATGGCCATTTGCAAGTTACAGTGTCTTACTGAGGTATATGTATGTTTGTTCATGGATTCATTAAAGAACTTGTGCTCTAGAAATGTTCCGAGAGTCTAGCTTTGGTTCTCTTGAACTCTCTGCTTTGCATCAGTGTTTATGATCAGTGATATGATATATTTTCCCCTTGCCGTTAGTAAAAACATTGATATGTTCAATGATATGAGATATTTTCCACAAGTACTTTTGGTTTGCATCAATTAGTGATTCTTAAACTTGTCTTAATTAAGACGGTTTCTCTAGTTCGGCCCACGCTGATACTTTGTTTTAAAGTAAAACGTTGTCAAACAAAGATTTGGACTAGAATGACCTCTATCTTTAGATATTATTATAATGATCTTGAAATTTTTTTTAATTCCTATGTTAACCTTATTTCATTTGAAAACAAAAAAACGTATTTACGAAACTGCCATTAATGAAGCCGAAATTTTTTTCCGCCAAAATTAAATAAGTCTACCATTCTGTTACGGTAGACTTATTACGGCGTACGCGATGGTAGACTTATATAGTTGTGGTAGATTTATAATATGTGGTAGACTTATTCGTAGTACTGGTAGATTTAATTTTGGGATCGGTAGACTTATTTGTAGTAGTGGTAGATTTATAAAGTGGTCGGTAGACTTATTTGTAGTAGTGGTAGATTTATAAAGTGGTCAGTAGACTTATTACGGTACATGCAGTGGTAGACTTGTTTATATTAGTGGTAGACTTATTGTAAGTAGTGGTAGACTCAAATCTAATCATTCAGTGAATTTGTCTTAAGACACCATCAAGCAAGCTTGAATATGACGAAAATGTGAAAGTTGCTTAGGCCGACCTAACCCTCATTAATAAAAATTAGAGCTAGATTTAGCCGTCTAGAAACTCGAAAAGAAGTTGTAATATTAAACTGTTTAGATCTCAAATCTCAAGATCCATAGTTGACTTTGCTCTCTCGTACAACCTATAAAGTTGAGATGATCTCGTGGTTTCTATTTTAATTATGTTAAAATAAGCATATACTAAAACAAGATCCACAAGCTACGGGGGCCATATACAAATCATAATTAGAACAAATATGGAGAGCACTAAATTTTACAGATTCGTAGAGTATTTATATTCAATCAGACTATTAGTGAACAGAAACAAGAGGATCTCTCACGAAGGAGATGAAGTTCGAGAGAGAAGATCTAGGAAATATTTCTTCTATTTCTGTTAAAGAGAAATGTCGATGTACAAGTAATTATATACACAATTAATCTATTCGGTACAAACCGGTTCACTAAACCAAAGGCTAATGTGTAAACCACATTACTATATCTAATACAGACCGTTAATTAGTGTATTTGTACAGCTTAATCAAACATTTATCTTTTTCAAGGTTATGAGATGTTTCCACGACTACTTTCCCCTCCGTCAGTTAGTGATTCCTCAACTTGTCTTCGGAAGGTTTCCTCTGAATCGGCCCACTTTCATATATTTGTTTTAAAGTAAAAAATCCTTTTGTTAATCATAACTTCTTCCTAATTTTCATTTATAAATATCGTCAAAGTTGTTAGTCAGAAATGATATTCATTGTTAACGACTTCTTTGTGTATCTTTATTCCACTGCTACTTGATAGTATTTAAGTTTCTATTTTACACCAGGGCATCAAAAGCTGATCATTCAATAATTTTGTTTTGGAAGAAATTGTCAAGGTTGCTTTCTAATAACCCTCATTAATAAACAAGACTTGACCTAAGCTTATTAAGTAGTCTTTTTTTTTAGAAATTATGAAAAATGCCACATCTATCTCTCGTGCCATTTTACAAAATTACCATATTTTGTAATTTTTGTAAGCGTATCACTCTTTTTCCTACATATTCCTAGATTACTTTTAATTATAAATTGCCAAAAAAATGTCCTCGTTAAACCAGATCTGTCATTTTTTCTCTTCACTCTCTAGTAACTTTTAGTTAGTCTAT